TCACGATAGAGTACTAATATCAGAAGAAGAGCTACAAGAACGAATAAAGAAATTAAAAAAAAGAAAAGCACCTGGTCCTGATAAGATAAACAATGAACTGCTAAAATATGGAGAAACAACACTACGCAAATGGCTCCTTAAATTATTTGTCGATATAATAAATACCGGAGTAGTACCAGCGGAATAAAAGGAAAGTCTCCTGCTACCGATACTTAAAAAGGGAGAATCGAGAAATCCTGAAAATTATAGAGGCATAAAGTCGATTCAGACACATCAGTCACGTCACAGTACTGGCGCCGAACCGAACAATCCGTCAAACAAAATATTGTTTAATATAAATATGGCGCCGGCATTCACATTCATCAGGGCGACGAACAGTTTGCCAGCTGTCAGATAGTTGATAGTTTTGTGACCAAATAGGACCGGTTCGGCGTATGGACTGTGACGGGACTGATGTGTCTGAATCGACCTTAAGTATCATGAATAGTACCTTAAAATTGTTAACGGCAGTCATAAAAGATAAAATCGAGGAAAAAGCGAACATAGCAGATGAACAACAAGGCTTCGGGAAGAACCGCTGCCCAATAGACGCAATTTTTATTATTAGACAAATAATAGAGAAGTATATTAAATATGGAAAACCAGCATACATGTGCTTTGTAGATTTAAAAAGTGCTTTTGACAGGGTGAAGTGAAATGATATCTTAAATTTATTGCAAGCTGAACAAATAGACAATCAGATAATAAGAATAGTTAACGAAATTAACAAGAACAACAAGACCACAGTTATAATGCTAACAGGAGAAACAGAATGCATAGAACTAAAAGGAGGAATCTGCCAAGGAGACTGCTCAGCCCATTGTTATTCCATATGGTGATGAATCAAATAATTCACGAAGTAAGAAAACGACACGGATACTACATGGGAGCGCATAAAATTACGATACTATGCTATGGCGATGATGCAGTACTAATTGCTGATAACGAAGATGACCTACAAAGGTAGCTCCACATCTTCAGTATGACAGCAAACAAACTTAATATGAGAATATGGGTAGAAATACACTAAATGTATAGTGATCAGTAAAGAGCCGCGTAGATGCAAACTAGAAATAGACGGCAAAATTGTAGAACAAGTAATGAAATTTAATTACCTAGGAGTAGAGATCACTAGTGATAGAAATATAAGAACGGAGACCAAAAGGCAAGCATCAAAAGCGGCAAGGGAAAGTGGTTGCCTCCGAGAAACCATATGGAGAAACAAATATCTGACTACTGAAAGCAAAATGAAAGTATATAAGACAACAGTAAGACCAATCCTAACATATGCAGCGGAGACAAGGACCGATACAAGAAAGGCGAAACAATACATCAACAGTATCGAAATGAAAGTATTAAGATCAATAGCGGGCATATCATTAAAAGACAGACAAACCAACAGAAGTATACACGAACAATGCAAAAACACGACTGAAACAGAACAAGAGACAGACAAACAGAAGTAATCCTAGTCGCACGAAGAAGAAGAAGAAGAGCTAAAATAGTTTACCAGGACCATATTTAATCCGTTCTATGGGAAACTTCCCCTCTATCCGGTCCTGGCGCCTTCCCATTTTTCATAACGTTGGCGTGTTATTAAATTTCTGATGTTATTTCAGTTTTTTCGCGGCAGGAAATATAATAGTTTTTTTTAGTCGATATCTTGGAATTCTGCTTGATCTTTTGTCAGCATTTGTTCATAATACTCAACCAATACCGGGGATATTATAGTTAACCTACCTAAAGTTAAACCTACTTAAAAAGTTCTACTACCTCTAATTGTTTTCCAGAATTCTTTACTTCTTGTGGTACAAATATCATTCTTTACGTTATCGTAGGTTTTATTTCACATCTTATTTTTGGCTTTATTTACTTCTTTTTTTTTAAACTGTTGTACTCTTGCTGATAGTAATTTATTATAAATTACCTTCTTTTTTCCCACAAGGTCTTTTGTTTCTTTATCATTCATACCCAATCTTCATACTCTCAACTTCTTAAATACCTTTCATTGCAGCTTCGTCAAAAGCTTTTATGATTTCGTTGTAAGTTTTAATTGGTGAGCAGTAATAGACATTGTGTAATTTCAAATTCAGCCTCATTTGATACAGAAACTAGATGAATGTTTCATTCCATCCTCATGTAAAATCCAAACCTTTATTTTTAAAACCTTGTAGATATCTCTTTGTTGAAATGTCTTGCAGCATCATTGAATTGTCATTTTAATTTTGTCGTTGGAAATAAATAGGAATTAGATCTACACTCTGCTGCTCGAAAAATTCTATATATTTTCCTTGCATATACAAAATAATCGATTATTGATTTTAAATTTCTTGGTGGTTGCGTCCACGTGAATTTATGAACATCTGGTTAACTAAGAGGTAACCAGCTAAAAATATTATTTTAGAATGTAGGTATTTTTTTTTTGTAAAGCAAGTGCTTTAATACGATTATATTTAGCCCAACTTAGCATGAAATGAAAAATGCTAAAAATGTTGGGGTGATTCTTATCTTGGTTTTAAGTTTATTAAAAGTAAAAATAATTGAAATTATTCAAAAAATGTGTCCCCTTCAAATAAAAATCGACGTGTCGCTGGGGCTTTTATCAAAAATGTTGTCACAGCTCCCATTAACGCCTGTTTTATTTTTGTCCGTCCACCCTGTATGTGCTGCCTAAGAGTAGTTTTATACATTTTTTTTATACAAACAACCCAAGCTTACAATACTTTTCTTTTGTTTTTTGAAAAATAAATTCTCTAAAAAGCATTATTTTCTTAAGTGATTGATTCGACCGTCACTTGATGGAAATTCATTTTATAGAATAATAAAACACCGAAAACTTTGTTTTCAAAGCTTCCACAAAATTTATTATAAAATATTATTACTACATCTGTTTCGGCAGAGTAATTTTCTTAAGTGATCTACAAATTTTTGGTGTGTTTACACTTTATAGTCTTAAATCAAATAGGCTAATGAGGTGAGAAGTGCTTGTCTTAAGTTGGTCATTCAGAATTATGTTTTTTAATTTATTAATTTTTATAGATTCTAACAAAGACAGCTTAAGGCCTTTAGGTTTGGATGTGAAGAATTTGAAATTCGCCATTAAAAGAATGATTATGATCAAGAAGATAAAGTGCGTATGTAGAATCTGTTTTTCTCTTATTGAAAACCATTTTATGTTCTACTATACATTTGTTAAAAGTTTTACCAGTTTGACCGATGTAAGTTTTGGGACAGTCGCCACATTTGTTTGTATACACCACTGTGTAAGTGATTTTTATTTTGGCTCTTGTTGTTTTTAAATATATTTGCCCAAATTGTTGTTTGTTCTGAAGGCTGGTGTTATTGCTTTCTTTTTTATTTATTGCTATTTTTGTTGATATTTTGCCTGTATATGTAATCGAGCAGAAGGTACTGGGTTTTTTCTCTGGTCGTGGAAATATTAGGACTTTCTTGTGTAGTTTTTAATTTAAATTTGTATTAATTGTTTATTCGCTGTACCCATTGTTTACTGTTATTTGTTTAATGATATTTAATTCTGTCTCAAAGTTGTATTTTGACAACAGAATTTCTGTTAATCTATATAACACGCTATGATAGGTTACCAGTTTATTATGTAGGATGTGATGATGAACTGTGTATAGTTGTGTCAATATGGGTAGGTTTATGAAATACGAAGAACTCATTAATTACTATTTATAACTGGGAATAAGCCACAATTAAAGATAAAAAATACGTTTATTGACGTTTCAATTTCCAATTCGGAAATCGTTCTCAGAATACAAACAGTAAATTAAACAAATTTTGTTTTTTGTTACATAGTGAAAAAATTCTTCTAATAATTTAATTTTATCTGACTCATTTATATTGACAATTCAGACATACATTATGCATTTTAAAGTAGACGACTTTAAAATGATATTGCCAATATTGTTGAGTTGCGCTCCTGGGACGACTTTACTTATAAGATAGTTCATTCGATTATATGAAATCAACTTTAACTTGAGAATATCCGTCAGAAAAAATCATAGCATGTAATTCGTCTTTAAAAAGACAAATACATGACATGATGACAGTAAAATTCTCCTGTTAGTGATTCCATAGTAAATTATGAGGGAAAAACCAGGAAAAAAAACCTCATAATACTATCCCGACATTGTAAATATTTGTTCGTGAATTTAGTTTACCTTCAAAAACATCAAATTCTGATTTTATATGTTACGTTATTTAAAAAAATATATCATTTTAAAGTCGTCTACTTTAAAATGCATAATGTATGTCTGAATTGTCAATATAAATGAGTCAGATAAAATTAAATTATTAGAAGAATTTTTTCACTATGTAACAAAAAACAAAATTTGTTTCATTTACTGTTTGTATTTTGAGAACGATTTCCGAATTGGAAATTGAAACGTCAATAAACGTATTTTTTATCTTTAATTGTGGCTTATTCCCAGTTATAAATAGTAATTAATTTACAATGCCACAAGAAAATAGCTTCAGAACAATATTACGAAGAACTCATGTTTGTTTTTAAGTCTGATAATTTGTAAATCTAAAAAATTTATTGACTGATTTTGTTCTGTTTCTATTGTAATTCAATGTGACAATGGAAATGACTTAATATACGATAAAAATTAGTCAAGTTGCCTGTTAGTTCCTGTAAAACATACCAGTCCTTCGTCTACGTATCTCCACCAATATAAAAACTGTTTGAATACGTGATGTTTTAAAATCTTTGTCTCCAGAAGATTTATAGGATTGGGCGTAAAGGATTACCCATTATTTGTTAGGTTGTTAGTTGTTAGGTAATTGAAAATATTGTATTTAATAACTAGTTTTATTGTATTTTTTTACAGTAAATTTAGGTAAAAATTTAGTGTGTTCTAAAATAATCTCAAACATTTTTTTTTTAATTTATATGAACTGTATAAAAACATTCAAACATTCTTTTCTTGTTTCAGATCGATTTATATCAATTCACAAACCAACGATACTTACAAAGAGGGAGAGTCCGTGAAATTGCTTAAATTAGCCTATACTTTAAAAATAATTGCCAAGGAGGGAGGGGACGCTTTGCATAATGGATCGTTAACAAAAAGATTCGTTAAAGACATACAAGACAAAGGAGGAATAATAACCGAGGATGATATGCGGACTTACGAGTAAGATTTATTATACTAATTGAAAAAAAAAAATAGGGTAATTAAAAGGAAAAATCTGCGATTTTTCTTAAATTATATTACATTTATAAATTGTTTACAAGCAACTAAAAATATTTCTTATGGTTAGAAATAGTTTCTCATACAGAATGGCCAATCTGCTTGAAAAAATAAGTACGCGTATCTCGTTCACGCAGACGGAATCAGCCATGTTTTAAACGGAACCAATGCTGTTCAGTGACTTTTATCTGGTGTGCATAGAAAAATGAACCTGGTTTAATTTATTTACGGCAACTATAGACATAATACGCACTATTCTATTCGTAATTTTAGTTGAAGAATAGATTAAATTATTTCAAAAGTAACAAATTATTAATCTCTAAAAATTTAAATTACAGTTCTGTCGTAGGTTTTCACAAATTTCTCAATTCGAATCTGTTTCCGTTTCAAATATGACGATCGCGTGCTGACAAATTTCAAAGGCGTCGTCTGAGAGTGGGCATTCTGATTGTTATTTATTCTGTGGTATCGCTCCATTAGGCCAAGTCTGACACGATTTCCTTCTACGACTCTTTTTCATTTTTTAAAAATAGGTCATTCGACGCGTCTGACAACTAACTCTAAAAAACTACTGTGACGAAATTCATAGATAAGGTCCATTCGCATAGCTCAGGCATATTTTGACAGATTCATAGTCGGAAACCTACAACACAAAAATTCCTACTGCTCAGTATTATTAGCTCAAATATACTACTATTGCAGACTTCTACCTTTGAAACAAGAAGAATTATTCTAAATAGTGAAAGTGTATACTAAGCCCATACAATTTTCCCTGTATATTTAAAATATAATATTTGAGGTATTACAATTTACAATGTTTGCTACATTGCCTATGCCTTACAGAAGTAGGCAAATTTTACAACACATTGTCATATTGGAGGAAAACAATTATTTTTTGGAAGCTCTATAGAAGACAATATTTTTTTACATTAGTTATTTTAATTCAAAGTAACACAACAAAAAAATTCTAATTCATTGAGTGAGTCAATTTTTTTGTACGCAAATGTATATAATATATATATATATAATATATATAATATATTATATATATATATATATATATATATATATTATACGTATAAATATATATATATATATATATATATATATATATATATATATATATATATATAAAACCTAGAGCTCAGATTAATACTATTACAAAAGTTAATATTAAACTCATCAGGCCACGCTAGGGATTAGTTTGAGAGACAGGATTCGAAATAACATCATTCGTGAAAGAACAAAAATTACTGATGTCTCAGAACGTATTGCAAGGCTCAAGTGGCAATGGGTCGGACACGTTGCCCGAGATAATCCCGAAAAATGGACACAAAGATGAACAAACTGGAGACCACGAGAGAACAGGCGAGGAGTAGGCAGACCGCAGAAGAGGTGGACAGACGATATCAAACAAGTCGCGGGCAAGCAGTGGATGAGAATTGCCAAAAGTAGAAATCGATGGAAGCAAATGGAAGAGGCCTATGTCCAGCAGTGAACGAACACAGGCTGAAGAAGAAGAAGAAGAAGAAACTCATCAGTCCTCCGGGTTGAACCGCGTCGATATCCATTAGGCTGAGCTTTCGACATCCTCTCTGATGTCTTCCTCAGGGCTTCCGAGGTATCAGCCTCCCGAGTCTCCAGACTGAGACCTCGGAAGCCCTGAGGAAGACATCAGAGAGGATGTCGAAAGCTCGGCCCAATGGATATCGACGCGGTTCAAACCGCGGAAATCTTTCCGAACATTCGACACCTTAAAATATTACGATTTAAGTCAAGTTGATTTAATAAAATCAAGAAATTAAGAAAGATACAGGGTGTTAAAGTGGAAATTTAAAATTTTATTTTTCGCTATAACTTTAATGTTTGTCAACATTTATGTATAAAAATTTACAACTGGGTACTATTAAATATCAGAAATTATAATTTGATGTACACTTTGATGTAGCTGATAGAAGTCGCCATAAATGTCACATATGTGGCATACATTTGCACTTAAATTGTTTGTTCTTCAAGTTACCGGTATTTTTAATAAAAAATATTAAAGATATATTATTTTAACAAAAAAAAAGGTATACTTGTTAATATCTTCAAAAACAGTTTTCGAGATAATCGCATTGTAGAAATCAACTACATAATTCTGATTTATCGCAATTATTAAATTACTTAAATATATCAGCAAAACAATAAACTAAAATAATTTACGTTTTGTATTAAATTAAAGTCATAATCAAAATATTTTATTTACAAACCGAATTAAGAAACCGTTAAACTAAATAACATTAAACTTTTTTTCAAAGTAACTGTTCAATATGTCTACGATTTTCTTTAATTCATTTGTCAATACATTCCATAAAATATCGTCTCATATTAAATAGCATCATTGGTTCTAAAGAGACTGCTGCAGTGTTTATTTTAAGTGTTATAAGTATAATAATAAGTAATTTTTTAAAATTTTTATGACTTCAATAATTATATTAATATCTCACTACAAGAATATGACTACCACGAACAATCCAACGTTCAGGAAAGTTGTATTTAAATACTGTCTCACTCCGCTTTTTCTGTAATGTAATGGTGTACTATCTTGTAGAAACCACATATTTCGCCTTAGGTTTGATGACAATTCTTCCAATGAATCAATAAAATTATTTTATAAAAAATGTAAATAAATCTCGACATTCAAATTGCAAAGTAATTCGCATATCCGTAAAAAATAATTACCAATGGTGCCAAATCATAGGACATGCATTTTAAACATATTAAAATAATATTATATAAATAAATATTTTGAATGATATTTTTCGGATGTGCGAATTCCTTTGCAATTTGAATGCTGAGATTTATTTACATTTTTTATAAAATGATTTTATTGATTTATTGGAAGAATTGTCATCAAACTTAAGGCTAAATATGTGGTTTATACAAGATGGCACACCAATACGTTACAAAGAAAGGGGAGTGAGAATAGTATTTAAAAACAACTTTCTTGAACGTTGGATTGTTCGTAGTAGTCATATTCCTTGGTCATGTGGTGAAATATTAATATAATTATTCAATTCATAAAAATCCCAAAAGAATATCGATTACTATACTTACAATACTTATAATAAGTACTGAAGCAGTTTCTTTAGAACCAATGATGCTATTTAATATGAGACGATATTTTATGGAATGTATTGACAAATGAGTTGAGAAAATGGTGGACATATCGAACACTTACGTTAACAAAAAGTTTAATGTTATTTAGTTTAACTGTTTCTTAATTTGGTTTGTAAATAAAATGTTTTGATTATGATTTTAATTTAATACAAAACGTAAAATGTTTGACGTAAAATCAAATTATTCTGCTGTTTTATCAAATCCTATTATTAATTATCCTGCTGATATATTTATTTTATTTAATATTTCGTTAACTATTAACTTTATTAAATGTATTTTATAACAAAATTCAGAAGTGTTCATGTTTTTACCTATTTTTCTTTCATTGCATGGATTAATTGCGTTAAATCAGAATTATGCAGTTGATTTGTAAAATACAATTATTATGAACAAAGCACGCTAAATGAGCAATGGAGTTAATATATGAATAAGCGCGAAGTTGAGGAAATTTAAAATTGAATCATTAAAAAGAGTATGACATTAAATATAATTGTTTTCCGTTGACTTTCCATTTACGATAAATTTTTACGATAAAATACCCTCAAAATCATTGATTAATGACCCCTATTAATTAATGATTTTCTATTAATGAATGATTTCATTATAGGCAACACAACATACATTGCTTGCATAAATTAATTAAACGCTCTGTGATTGTCAGTGACCTGTAATGTAGGCAACCAAATATATACCTATTTATATTCCCACTAAAAATGTTAAAATGAAGTAGCCGCTGTTAGTACTATCTGTCATTGTATGTCATTATTTACTTTATTGTTTAGAAAAATCAAAAGATGGATATTGCGAATAGTTTAATTTAACTCTATTAAAATATACTAAAACAATCACTAAGAGGATCTAAACCTCCGAGATGTTGAATCGAAACGTAGTGAAAAAAAAATGTATTACCATAGTTGTAGTTATTAACATAGTAGGTAGATATCTTTATTTTTATTTTTTTTATTTGTAAGATGTATACACTATGAATTTCTGATGGCGTCTCTCAATAACTAAATTATAATAAAGGTATGATATAGTATTTATTAACATAGTATGTACATTAGCTTAGCTGTTATTATTATTATATTAATCATGTTTCACTAATTGACATATTTAAATTCTTTACCAAAACTTATGTTGATGGAGACTGGCTGAATGACAATTGTCCAAGCCAAGGGAAAAAAAACTCTACCAGAAGTGGCAGAAACTGCAAATGAAATATCTTTAAGTTTACTGCCTGAAAAAAGCAGATTGTTACACGAAAAAACATACGCTGAATTTATTGCATGATGTGACGAGAGAAAAATAATACGATATTCAGAATCTGTATTGTTGACATATTTTTCAAACATTGCCGAAAAAGGACTAGTAGCAAGTTTGCGGCCCAAATATTCGATGCTAAGTTTAACCGACCTTAAGTTTAAAATCAAACATTGATATATCTAAATATAATAAGTTAATTCTGTTAATTAAGAAAAAAGAACAGGTTATGTACTAAAGAAATCAAAAACACTTGAAAAAGAACAAGTCACGAAATTCATATCTGATGCTCCTAACGACGTGTTTCTAATGATAAAGGTAAACCAGTAAATTAAGTTTAGATATTTAATACTCGTATTTCATAACATTTCATTTTGTAGGTTGCATTGATTTTAGGAGTGGCTGGTGCATTAAGAAAGGACGAACTATTAAAATGGGAAACAAATAACGTTCAAGACTTGGGGTCAAAGTTTCTTGTCACAATAAAAGTATCAAAAACACACACAAATAGAATATTTACCATAGTAGATAACGAAGCAAATATCATTCTCAATGCGATCAAAAACTAAATATCTTTAAGACCGGCACACACACCACATAAATGATTTTTCATTTTTTATAAAAATAAAAAATGTTCCACACAGCCAGTTGGCATAAATACGTTTTCCAAGATTCCTTCCGTTATTGCTAAGTTCTTAAAATTAGAGTACTCGCATCTCTACACTGGGCATTGCTTTAGACGTTCCTCTGCCTCAATACTGTGTGACAGTGGTGCAGACTTTTTAGCTATTAAAAGACTAGATGGCTGAAAATCGAATGCTGTCGCAGAAGGTTATATAGATAATTCTATGCAGAATAAACTTGAGACGGCTGAAAAACTCTTGCGACAAAATACCACTAAACCTTGTCAAAGTACTTCCTTTAGCACCACCGCTTCTTCTTCTATCACAGAATTTACAGAGGTCAAAGAAGACTTAAATATAAATTTGTCAATATGCTATACAGCAGATAATCATTTATCAATACCTTCCTTTAATTTCACTAATTGTACTATTTCGAATATTAATGTTTACAATAAAAAAATACTACTAAGAAAAATTAAACTTTGAATAAAGTTAATGAAAGCTGAAGAAATTGTTGTTTATCGTTAAACAAATAAAAATTTAAACTAAGATATCTTTATTTCTGAAAAGTACGGTCGACGGAAAACTTTTGTAATGAACTTGTGAATTAAAATGGCGATTAACAATCTCGAACATTAACGCGCTCGCTCCGCCCACTTGTTGGTTAAATAACTATTTATAAATGATTTTTGCCATTATTAAATTAATTTGTTAATAAATAATATTGGGTAAATTATTTTATTAAATCTATGATGAAAAAAATAAACGATTATAGCTGAAAAATGATATATTTTCGTTTACCTAAAGTGTATCGATAACAATTAGGTTTAAGCACTTTTGTTTCATTTATCTTTTTTTATTCTATTTTATTTTTAAAATTATAATAGGTGCTTACCAGTTCTTAACTTAAGCTTAGAAATTATTATATAATATTTTTTAGGCTAATTTTCTTTAAAAATGGTTTGTTTCATACAATCGTAATGCTTTTTAAGCGCTTTTTGAGTATATTTGATTTAATCCGAACTCTATTTATTATATTCCTTTACGTGTAATTTACATCTTCCAACGAATTCAAAATAATATAGAACACGCTATATATACATAGCTATTATATCGTTTATGTTTTAGACCCATCTGGGAAGAGCCAATAGTAATCTCAATGAAAAACGACGAAACCCTCTACACCTCCCCTCTGCCCGCCAGCGGAATCCTAATTGCTATAATTTTAAATACCTTAAGTGATTTTGTTAATTCGGATGTTGACAACGTTACTGCTGCTCAGAGAATCGTGGAAAGTTTCAAGTTCGCTTACGCAAGAAGGGGAGAAATGGGAGATCCGAACTTCGTGGATGTAACGGAGGTAAGAAATATATTTGCTTCGCAATGGAATTGCTAAACTAATGTCGTGAGATTCAAGAATTATCTGCATAAGTAATGACTAGTTTATTTTGTTAGAATACATGTCTTTGATTAAATTATATAAGAGTATTAATAGGACAGGAAAGATATATAATTTATATTAAGAATAAAATAGGATTAGAGCTTACGTTTTTATGAGCAAGGTTGTTTTATATTAAAAGAGTTAAAAAAAAACATCGTGACTAATAGAATTATTAATACTATATTTCGTAAAATTTTCTCTTACGTTTTTTATTAAACCATTACCTGAAATATGAACATTATACTATTGAGTTCAGGAGAATAAGTAAAAAAATATCCTGTTTGTGAAACTGACTGATTAGCATGTTTAGCAAGAAATAAAACTTGGTTTTGCGCAAATGAGTATTAAACTAAAAAGATTGGAGCAGAAAAGAAGAGCAAATCAGATAGACGTCAGTCATTTATGTAACCTGGAGGTAAAGGAGAAACTGCAAAAATGTATTAATAATAATTTAAAAATACTTCATGAAAAAGAAACATCTCAGCCAATGAACAACATAGATAAAAAATGGCAAAACGTAAAAAATGGCGATAACAGGTCCTGCGAAGAAAATTCTGACTAAAGAAAAACCAAAATAAAGAAAAGGTGGATGACTGATAAAATCCTTCTTCTCATGGACAATCGGAGAATAATGAAATGAAAAAACAAACAAAGGTATAAATAAACACAGAAAGAAATCAAAATAGAAATCAGAATAGCAATAGAAGATTTTTATAAAAGAAAATGTGAAGGAATAGAGCAATTGCAGGCAAAACATGATATTTTTAATGTACATAAAAAAGTGAAAGAACTTGCAGGTACACAAAAACGTAAGCAGCCAAATACCCTGTATACTGTCAACGGAACCATAATAACAGAACTAGAAGCACAGTTGAAGACATGGAAAAACTATATTGAAGAACTCTTTGCAGATGATAGACAACAATCTGAGCTAAGTAACATACAAGGAGACGAAGGTCTAGAAATAATGGAAGAGGAAGTAATGTACGCACTAAAAAGAATGAAAAATGGTAAAGCTCCAGGTCCAGATGAAATACCAACGGAAATCCTTAAACTAATAGAAAAAGACTCGATTCACATTTTAGTTGAACTTTTCAATAGCATATATACATCATGAAAAATACCACAAGAATGGCTTTTATCCACCTTTGTTATTATACCAAAAAAGATAAATGCCAAACAATGTGGTGATTACCGTACAATCAGTCTGATGAGCCATGTACTGAAAGTATTCCTGAAAATTACACACTCTAGAGTACACAGAAAACTGGAAATGGACATCATTAATACCCAGTTTGAATTCCGAAATTGACTCGGAACAAGAGAGGCGTTGTTTGCACTGAACGTATGTCTCAAAGATGTCTTGACATAAATCAAGATGTATTCATGTGTTTCATAGATTACAACAAGGCCTTTGATAAAGTGCGGCATGATCACCTAATCAGACTACTGACAGAAAAGAAATTAGATAAACGAGACATTCGACTAATAGCAAATATGTACTACAATCAGAAAGCAGTAGTGAGAGTAGAGAATAATACCACTGGAGAAATTGAAATAAAGCGAGGTGTGAGACAAGGGAGTATACTGTCACCAACCCTGTTTAATCTCTATTCCGAAGACGTAATGAATAGAACACTCTCTGAGCAATCCGTAGGTATTAAAATAAATGGTATTAGATTAAACAATCTGAGATTTGCCGACGACACCGTTCTGATCGCAGAAACACTTGAAGAGCTACAGACATTGGTGAATAAGATAGCAGACTGCAGCGAAGAATATGGACTATCTTTGAACATAAAGAAAACTAAATTTATGGTAATATCGAAATCAACACAAAATGTCCAAAATTTATATTTACACGATGAAATTATCGATCGAGTTGGCAAATACAAATATTTAGGCACTTTTATAAATGAAGACAACGATAGCTCAGCAGAAATCAAAATAAGAATAGAAAAAGCCAGATCCATATTCACTAAAATGAAGAGAGTGTTCTGCGGAAGAGATTTGAGCCTTGAAATGAAACTTCGCCTGATGAGATGTTACGCACTTTCTGTGCTGTTCTACGGAAGGGAGTCATGGACGTTGAAAAAGATTGATATAAAAAAATTAGAGGCATTTGAACTGTGGATGTATCGCAGAATCCTGAGAATATCATGGACCGAGAGAGTCACAAATGTCGAGGTCTTGAGAAGAATGAATAAAGAAAAGGAAGTCATATTTACGATCAAAAAACGAAAACTGCAATACTTGGGACACATTACAAGAGGCGAAAGATATGAACTGCTTCGAATAATTATGCAAGGGAAAATAGCAGGAAAAAGGTCCACAGGAAGAAGACGAAACTCCTGGCTAAAGAATCTACGGGAATGGTATAGCTGTAGCAACAACGAATTGTTTCGGTCAGCAGTTTCGAAAATACGTATAGCCCTGATGATCGCCAACCTTCGGAACGAAGATGGCACTTGAAGAAGAAAAAGAAAACTTGGTTTACTTGACATTTTTTATTTCCAAAGCAACACATAACCAATTCTATTTTTGAAATAATTGAATACGATCATTTGTTTTTTTTTTTCATAAAATCTATTATTTATTAAGTTTATTGAAGAAGTATATATTAATAATAAATACAGTATTTCCCAAAATAAACAGTACTGAAACTGAAACATAAATGTCTCTTTGTGTGCGCTGTCATAATATATTTAAATTAACTAGTATAAGACTGTCAAGTAATCCTTAAACAATTAATTATTAAGGCTTTATTGTTAAAAATGGTGTTAAGTACAGAGGAAAAAGTGTTTCTTGTGGAGCATTATTATCACAAGTCCACTTGGATCGCGACGATAGTGCAAGTCAATACGTGTGTGATCAATTCACACAGCAACGGTTTAATAAACGTTTTCCAAGTAATGCTGTAATTTTGAAAGTTGTTGAAAAGTTTAGAAATACGGGTAATGTATTGTGCCAACAAAAAGGAAACTCCCAGGCCGTCCAGGACAGTTAACAACAACTATAACCATGAACGTGTTTTTGAGCGAATATTGAAAACCCAAAAGCCAACCAGACAAGAACAGCATTGCATCTTGGCTTAAAGCGAACTTCCTTGCAAAGAATCTGAAGGAGTTGGATGCATTTTAGTATGTGATTCAGGTACATCAACAATTAAATCCCAGGGATTATCACAGTAGAGTGGAATATTGTGCCAGAATTCTTGCATTACAGTATAAAAATCCTGAATTTTTGAAAAATGTATGGTTTTCAGACGAAGCACATTTTTATTTGTCAGGCGATGTAAATCGTCGCACAAAAGGATTTCTGAGCTTTGCCAGACCAGATGAAGTTCAAGAAGTTCCTTTATATAGCGCAAAAGTGAGTGTCTGGGGTGCAGTTTCGGGACACGGAATCATTGCTCCATACTTTATCGAAGAAAATTGTACACAAGTCACACTTAATCAACAGAGGTACACACAAATTTTAACACGCTTTATCCTTCATCTACGTCAATTTTGTCGTGCACTTAATTTGATATTTCAAGACCAGTTTTTCCAGTAGGATGTGACAACTTGCCATACTGCTGTCAGAGTTCATCAATTATTACAGAGACATTTTCTAAACAAATTCATTTCACGATCCTGCACATTCTCTAGACTTACATCTCCAGTCGTATACATTTGGGCATGACCAAAGCTGCTGTTTTTAAATGGGCACCATAAAACATCAATAAGTTAAAGAATCCTTCTTCGCGGACCTGAAACAACCTTTTTTCCATAAAATTACGAGAAATCTTGCATATCGGTGTAAAGTCTGGCTTGAGAGAGGAGGAGCTCATTTAGAACATGTTTGTGTCAATAATATGTATTTTTTAAAACAATAAAATAATTACACGTTCAGTACTGTTAATTGTGGGTAATAATTTATATTTAAAAAAAATGCATATTCGTAATGTACGCAAAAAAGTACATTCAAATTAAAAAAGAAACGTCGTAATCCATAAACAAGGACAAGAGGTACAGTGAACAGTTCGTTTTCCTTCCATCGCTCCCGCGAGTTTCAAAGGTGGCCTATTGTGAGGACCACATTTTGAAGCTTTGTAGACGATTTTGTTAAAAGGCAATATACAAAAAGGCTTTTTTGAAATATATTTTAAAAAAGGCTTTTTTGAAATTTGGCACATTAAAACCTTAAAGTATATTCTTTCAAATGACGCTACTTAGATCTCTTAATTGGTATAAACAAAGCTGCTGTTCATTATTAAAAAAGGGTCTAACTTTGCTCCCAATTGTCGTAGTACGACTTTTTCTTTTTGAAATCTGTGAAAAAAAAAATTATCTTGCAGGCAATGATAAAAAAGTTTACTTATTGTCTATAAGCAAAAAAACCGACATGTTACAAAATGGTTTTTCTCCGTGTTTAATAATATTGATAGAATAAATCTTCTTTTTTGAGCTATACGTATAGCTCAAATATTTTATGTAATACGAAGGTTCTAAGTTCATTTTAAAAAAAGTTTTAAACCGGAGTTTCTGATTTATTTTGCAACTTTCTAATCAACAAATTAGGATAGAAACATTTAAGAAACGCCATTGTTTTTATATGACGTATAAGTTTTTATTTTCAAATTTTTACCGTTTTTTGACCTTAATTTGTTATTAATTAATAACTTTAATTAAAACAACTCTCGTTTTTTAAAAAACGAATGTCAAACGATATGGCGATGTGAAAGAGTGAGTGCCTTGCAGATTTATTAGAAGGGAAAATTATTCCCTTTTGACTTTTTTTGACCATTTGCTTGGACGAAGTTAAATAATCTAGTCACAATCTAGTCTTTTCAATAAATGTGTTTCTCAATAAATTTTTAGTTAATTGGAACAACCCAAACGCAAGAAATGGTCAAATTGACCACCGCCGTCCTTGCAGGTAGGTAGGTTCAGCGGATCTTCTAGTAATAAACTTCTATCTTTAAACAATAGAAAAAATTGTAATTATTTCTGGGACGTTACCATGGGGTCCTGTAGTCCACTGTTAAAAAGCTCAAGTGGTACCATTGCCATCTATTTTTCTGAAAGATCCCGTTTGTCACTTTTGTTTAAAAACCAAAGTAAGTCAAATTAGAATTTCCTTTTTATCTTTAATCCTATTTGACTATTTTTCTAAATAAAGGTATGAATGGTAAGAACAATTTTGATTCCGAAAATTATATAAATCTGAGATATTTCAGGAGAATTAATAAATTTTCCTATTTAATCAATAATTTTTATCTTTGTCAAAAAAGTCCAAAGTAATGTTGGTTATTTGTTTCAGTTATTAGAAAGCTCTACATCAAAACAATACGCAGAGCGAATTCGAAGATTAATATCTGACAACAAAACGTATGATGATCCTAAACATTATTATGTGAATTCCACCTGGCCAGAGGATCATGGAACTGCTCATATATCAGTGCTCTCACCAGAAGGGGATGCTGTGTCTGTGACAAGTACAATAAATCTTTTGTAAGTTTAAATGCCTCCGTTGTATATTTAGCGGAATTTTCTTAAATAGGGACAAATCTATATTAATAGTTTTTTAAGTTTTTGTGTTATTCTTTTTCTATATTTTAATAAACACATTAAATAAGACATGATAATTAGGATTTATAAAGACTCATAAGTATTTCTTTAACAACTAAAAAATCAATATTTCAACATATAAGGATATGAGATCTCTCCATTGTAGTGGTATTTATAAATTGACCATAGCTCCGATGATGGCTTTGTAAAGCCGAAAGCGCTCAGCTAGGAATTATTAAAAATATACACACTTCAAAAATACCTTTTTTACCTTTTCTTTTGACTTGTCATAAGTGTATACAAAAAACATATCAGTCTTTTGATTATTTCTAAAAAGTTCTACAGATTTCTAAAAATTTATAAAGATTTCCAAATATTTCTAAAGATTTCTAAAAATTTCTAAAGATTTCTAAGAATTTCTAAAGCTTTCTAAAGATTTCTAAAGATTTCTAAAGATTTCTAAAGATTTCTAAATATTTCTAAAGATTTCTAAAGATTTCTAAAGATTTCTAAAGATTTCTAAAGGTTTCTAAAGATTTCTAAAGATTTCTAAAGATTTCTAAAGATTTCTAAAGATTTCTAAAGATTTCTAAAGATTTCTAAAGATTTCTAAAGATTTCTAAAGATTTCTAAAGATTTCTAAAGATTTCTAAAGATTTCTAAAGATTTCTAAAGATTTCTAAAGATTTCTAAAGATTTCTAAAGATTTCTAAAGATTTCTAAATATTTCTAACGATTTCTAAAGATTTCTAAAAATTTCTAAAGATTTTTCTATATATTGTTCTGAAGCTATTTTCTTGTGGCATTTTAAATTAATTACTATTTAACTGGGAATAAGCCATAATTAAAGATAAAAATACGTTTATTGACGTTTTAATTTCCACTTCGGGAATCGTTCTCAAAATACAAACAGTAAATTAAACAAATTTTGTTTTTTTTGTTTTTTTTTTAACAAAATTTGTTTAATTTACTGTTTGTATTTTTAGAACGATTTCCGAAGTGGAAATTGAAACGTCAATAAACGTATTTTTATCTTTAATTGTGGCTTATTCCGAGTTAAATAGTAATTTATTTTTCTATATATTCCTAAAGATTTTTAAAAATTTCTAAAAATTTTCCAAGACAAAGATTTTTAAATATTTCTAAAGATTTCAAAAAATTCCAAAGGTTTCTGAACATTTTTAAAGGTATCTAAAGATTTATAAGGATTTCTATATATATTTTTTTGAGGATTTATTTCGTCCTGTGTACTTATAAAGTAACAATAAAAGTTGTTTTTTTTTATAGATTTGGGTCAGGTGTCGCCTCTGAAAGCACTGGCATCATACTTAACAATGAAATGCGTGATTTTTCGTCACCAAATGTAACAAACGGAAACGGTTTCGAATCCTCACCCGCAAATTTTATTAAGGCTGGCAAACGGTCGGTTTCATCGATGTGTCCGTCGATAGTTCTAGATAAAAACAAGAATGTGGAGATGGTTGTAGGTGGCGCAGGAGGACCGAAAATAACAACTGCAGTTTCTTTGGTAGGTAAAAATTCCACATATTTTCTTTAAACAAAAAACTCATCAGATATATCCGTAACATCATTTTATCTGATGCTAACATATTTTGATTCACAAATTATCCAATTTTCTATTGGATTTTCATTCAAACAGGCGTTATCTGGGATAGCAGAAGTGTTAAATGGCACAATTCCCACAGACTTGAATGCTGAAGTTCAATTATATACAGTTGCAGACTCGTTCCATCCTTTAGCAAGTAACTATCCAACTTATAGTCTAGTGATCTTTTGTACTGGATTATTTTTAATGTATAAATTGCAAGCTGAGTGATAGATTAATTTTAACGATCTCAAAATACATACATCTAGCGGTTATAAAAATTGTGGCGTATGATTACGTAAGCAAAGCAGTATGATTTTATGTACAACACAGTATTCTGACATCTGAACGTTACTGCAGTGCTAAGCATGACCATGAAGCAGTAACAAAACTACTCTAGTCAGGTTTCTGGGAACGGACTGATCTTTGAGCCACTGAAAAAATATGTCACTGTTGACATAGGCCGATCTTTTCGACATATAGATCAAGGATCCCGAAGACATCTAATCCTCGAACTCTTGCTTTCTATTTTTCCCTTTCATTACGCAGGTGGGAAAAAGAAAAATGCCTTCCGCATTGCAACAGACTATAACGGTGATGGTTTCTCTATTATTCAGTTGTAATGCTGTCTCATTAATATTATAGATATATCCACAGTATTTTCTAGCAGTTAAAAGTAAGTCTTAATGTCTTTTTTGTTCATATACCCCTTCTGCTTTTCTAAATCCATTTTTTGAAGTTTGAGGATATGTTTGGCCAATTTTTCTTTACCAGTTTCGCCTAACGTGGAGAAGTATCTGTTGATAACTGTTCAGTGGAAAACGGGAATCTTGAATTCTTCCAGTTACTTGTTGCTAAATATTATTTGAACTTCCCGTGGTTTTAGTAAAGAACACAAGACCGTACATGAAACTATTTAATACTTCTATGTGACTGTTATACTATAGAAAAGAAACTTAATTGTGTGTAATAATATAACTAAAAAAATATTACAAATATAAATTAATACTACATGTTGTTACATCCATGACTGGAAGCAGAATAAAGAATGCTGAATGAGGGTTGCTAGGTATCCTTCCAAAGGTAGGTACTTTCCAAAATATATCGTAACGGGAATTTCTAATCTCCCTTAGTGACAAGATGTCGCCAAGCTAAGCTATGTTTGCGTCGTTCTAAAGACGACAAGGCCGTTTTCAAACCATTTAAAGTTTTACAAGTATCCAAGAGGACTTTCCTTATATTATGTCTTAATTTTCTTCTTCGTATAGTGGTTCAACTACCCCGGGAACAACTTTGAGTGAACTTGTATTTAGTAGGCATATTAAAAAAAAAGCCATCTTATCTCAGCAAAAATAAGTGAACCTATCTTCGTTGTGAGAGGTGAGATGGCGCACCTCAATAATTAAGGACATTTATGAATACTGAAATGTCTTTACTTATCTGATACGACATTGCGACTAAAATTATTATTTAAATTTAATTATTATTTAAATTTAAAGTCCAATAGCACAAATAAGGAATTCGGAAAAATATTTTTGTACCATCCGGATCACATAAAAATTGATATTTAAGTAATAAGTGTTTTTTTAGATGTATAGAACTTTGAAATGAAATAAAACAAAGATGATTTTTTAAATTAACATAAAATTGACTTTATTCAAAAGATAATCTTTAGGTATTATAATTTAAATATGATTCCTGGCATATGACCGTCACGTCTGACTCTGACGTAGTCTAACCTGGCGGTCCAATTTTCGACGACTTTTTCTAACATTTTTAGCCGTATATCGGTTATAATGCGGCGAATGTTGTTCTCCAAGTAGTCAATAGTTTCAGGCTTATCGGTGTAGACTATCGACTTCACATATCCGCATAATTCACGGGTCCGAAAATAAATTGGGACACGAGCTGTGTGACATATTACGCCGTGTTGTGGAAACCACAGCACCTGCACATCATGGTTATTCCAATGGAAATAAAAAAGTCAATAATCCTAGCTCTATAGCCACCATTGAAGGTAATGTTCTGGCCAGCATTTATTTTTGAAGAAGTACGGACCAATAATTCCACTTTTCCACAAAGCACACCAAACAGTTAGTTTTTCTGCATGTGTGTCTAAAAGTGTCTCAACATACACTTGAGGTTTATATTCACTCCAAATACGAGAGCTTTGTTTGTAGATGAAGCCATTTCAACCAAAATCAGGCTTCATCGCTAAACAAAATTCGTTATGAAAATCAGGATCAACGACAATGTCGTTTCCATTCACAGAATCTACGCCTTGCTAGGTTATCGTGTAGCTTTAATTCTTACACAAGTTGGATTTTGTAAGCATACAAACATACATCTTTCCAAAAATCTTTAATAAAGTGGATAGATACATATCCAACTGCTATGCACGACAGCGGATAAACTAATTCGGGTATTACTCTATGCTACTCTCTACATCAGCAACAACATCTTTCGTACTCACTGTAAGACGTCTCTAGGATGTATAGTATTATTTAAAGTAAACACGGTGATGATTAATCGCTCTGATTGTCGATTATGTTGACCATTAACTGGACGTAGTACGCGATACGTACTTCGAACAGAACCAAACTAAACACAAATCAATTGACAGTTGTCAAAATGGCCGACAGTTAAAAAAGTGTTACCACCTCATATTTCTATAGCTCTAAAATAACACCCTTTACATACTTCTCCGATAAACACAAACGGTACGGCCGCTAGTTCCATATGAAATAAGAGCGCAGTTGCTCCCCTTCTAATATTAGCGGTAACGCTGTAAAACCATTGCGCCATCTCACCTTCTGCGCCACTTGTCCTCGAATTACTATAACTATAGCATTTTTCAAAAGGATAATTGAGAATTTATTCAGATTTCAAATGTTACTTAAAGTAATTACTATTTATAACTGGGAATAAGCCACAATTAAAGATAAAAATACGTTTCAATTTCCAATTCGGAAATCGTTCTCAAAATACAAACAGAAAATTAAACAAATTTTGTTTTTTGTTACATAGTGAAAAAATTCTTCTAATAATTAAATTTTATCTGACTCATTTATATTGACAATTCAGGCATACATACATTATGCATTTTAAAGTAGACGACTTTAAAATGATATTGCCAATATTGTTGAGTTGCGCTCCTGGGACGACTTTACTTATAAGATAGTTCATTTCGATTACATGAAATCAACTTTAACTTGAGAATATCCGTCAGAAAAAAATCATAGCATGTAATTCGTCTTTAAAAAGACAAACACATGACATGATGACAGTAAAATTCTCAAGGAGAATTAGGAGAATTATTAAATCTACAGCATACACAAGGAATAATATGAGGAAAATAACAATACCGTACATAAAAGGATTATCGGAAAAACTTAAAAGGATAGGAAATAAATTCAACATTTCAACAACATTCAAAACAACAAACACGTTGAGATCTATTTTCAAAACCAAACCTATAGTGCATTTTTATGTATGAGAGAGTAATAAAACAATAAATTATGTATGCAAATCCCTAAACTGTTGATACGGGTGACTCAATGAAAAACAGATATTTGTCAACAAGTTTACGGAAGTATATAGGAAAACAATTTTAAATTGAGTATGACCACCAGGTATAAAGGTTGGAGCAGAATAGAATACAATAGTTGTGAGGGTTACTAATCTCTAAATAAGGTTGCCAGTGTCGGAGTGATGGAGGTTAACAGGTACTAATGAATTTGCAAGAAATGTAAGATGTTTATTTTATTGGTTATATATAACCAATAAAAGTTTAATAAGTACCTACCTATTTGCAAAATAAAGTTTAATTCTTTAGATAAAATAAAACGTTTTATTTTATCTGAAATGAGTGCATTCCACGAAGTAAGGGTTTCAACAATCAAACATTTAATTCTTTAATTCCAGGAATCTACGACAGTAATTGACTAGATAATTACCTTCTAAACTTATTCCACAGAAAATGTGATAGTGGGTTTTTTCATTTTGTAGGAAGGTCCAAGTGGCGTATTCAAAATTCTTAACAGTTCACTAAAAGTAGGTACTTCAGTTGCAAGGTGCAGTTTATTGTGTATACTAGTGTTATGGAAAATTTGGAAGTGCCGTGTAAACGCCAAAAAATTGGTCCTTTAACAGTTAACGAAAAAACATTAATATTTAATTGTTTTAAAATCATTTACAGACAAACGTTTATGTGAAAGTGTTGATGAGACCGTTGAGTTAGTTAGCAGTACACTTGGTGTTGGGAAATCTACGATTTACAGAGTTATTAAAGAAGGGAAATGTGGTAGTTTTCAAATGCCACGTAATGCTCGAGGGAAACCAAAATTTCAAATAGAATATCATTTTAAAGAAGGACTTCGACGGAAAGTGCATGAATTCTTCTTTAGACAAGAATTTCCAACATTGGATAAAGTTCTTGTCTCAGTTCGAGATGATAAGGATTACCCAGAAATGAGTCGAAGTACGTTATGGAAACTTTTAAAAGAAATAGGCTTCCGCTGGAAAAAGAATCCAAGAAAGTCTATTTTATTAGAAAGAAGCGATATTGTCATATGGAGAAGACATTTTCTAAGAACCATAAAGGAAATGAGAAACCAAAAAAGAAAAATATTTTATCTTGATGAAACATGGATCAACGAGGGTCATACACCAAATAAATTTTGGCAGGATGAAACTGTTACAAGTCAAAGGCACGCTTTTGTAAATAACTTATCTACTGGTTTAAACCCACCATCAGGAAAGGGACGCAGGCTGATAATAGTACACATTGGCAGTTCAGACGGTTTTGTTGAAGGTGGTTTATTAACTTTTGAATCAACTCGTACCGGTGACTACCATGAAGACATGAACGCTGATGTCTTTCAAGAATGGTTCGAACAAATGATAGATCTTCTTCCTAAGAACTGTGTAATAGTAATGGATAATGCAAGTTATCACTCCAGACTTATAGAAGGACTGCCCACAACCAAGTGGTTAAAAAAATACTTGCAGAATTGGCTGAGTTCAAAAAATATTACGTACCATCCCAGATCTATAAGAAAGGAACTTTATTCGTTGTGTGCCCTTCATCAAGAAAAATTTAAAAAATACGAAATTGATGAAATTGCCAAAAATCGTGGAATGACAGTACTTAGATCCCCACCATATCATTGTGAATTAAACCCGATTGAACTGGTATGGGCACAGATAAAGAGTGAAGTTTCAAGAAAAAATACCACTTTTAAAATTCATGATGTTAAACAGTTGTTTTTGGAGGGCCGTAAATAATGTAAAACCTGAAAACTGGGAAAAGGCAGTAAATCACACTATTAAAGAAGAGGAAAAAATGTGGAAGCTGGACAATATTACTGATAAAATGATCGAGCCAGTTATTATAAATCTTGGTTCTGAAAGTTCATCTTCTGAATCTGATTTGGATTTGTAACAAGTAGCTGTAAGTTTTATATTAATATTTTTATTCATCTATTTAACATACCTTAGACGGTTTTAAAAACTCTTTTTCTCTTTTGTGATTTTTAAAAATTTAAAAAAATGTGAATTTTTTAAAACCCTTTTTAATGTAGGCCAGTCAGTTCTAATATAGTGTGTGATAAAAGAGGTCACTTTTGTTTACATACACATAACACTTTATAACACTGAAATAATTCATTTATTTTTTACAATTATTCAAAGTAATTTTTCAATTAATCTTGAGCACGCCCATGGAGTGGTCGGAAGTACCAGTTAAAATTATGCTAATTACTCTCTCGTTCATAAAAATAAACTATAACAATGAACAAGAAAGGACAAAGAATTGCATTTATAAAATACCTTGTGAATGCGATCAGTTTTATTTAGGTGAATCATCAAGGCCATTAAATGTTAGAATAAGTGAACATCAATCTTATATTAAAAATAGAGAATTTGATAGATCTCAAATATGTAAACACGTATGGGATAATGAACATAGGGTTCAATGGAATAATTCAAATATAGTCCTAAAAGAAACGGATGGTAAAAAAAGAAAAATCACAAGAAGCGGCTCTAATTATGCTAAACGAGGCCAATTGTGTCGCAAATTTCTCGGCAGAATGTAGTAGGATCTGGTTACCAATATTGAAAGAGGAAGTTATTAATAAGAAAATACCAGTATTAGTAAGTCAGTAACATATAGAGGATACATCATTTATGTTTTTTAAATAACGTAATATATAAAATCAGAATTTCGATGTTTGTTGAAGGTAAACTAAATTCACGAACAAATACTTACAATGTCGGGATAGTATTATGAGGTTTTTTTCCTGGTTTTTCCCTCATAATTTACTATGGAATCACTAACAGGAGAATTTTACTGTCATCATGTCATGTGTTTGTCTTTTTAAAGACGAATTACATGCTATGATTTTTTTCTGACGGATATTCTCAAGTTAAAGTTGATTTCATGTAATCGAATGAACTATCTTATAAGTAAAGTCGTCCCAGGAGCGCAACTCAACAATATTGGCAATATCATTTTAAAGTCGTCTACTTTAAAATGCATAATGTATGTATGTCTGAATTGTCAATATAAATGAGTCAGATAAAATTAAATTATTAGAAGAATTTTTTCACTATGTAACAAAAAACAAAATTTGTTTTATTTTCTGTTTGTATTTTGAGAACGATTTCCGAATTGGAAATTGAAACGTCAATAAACGTATTTTTATCTTTAATTGTGGCTTATTCCCAGTTATAAATAGTAATTAATTTACAATGCCACAAGAAAATAGCTTCAGAACAATGTTACTTAAAGTATTTAAAAATATTTATAATCAGATCTAAACCTTTATTTAGATACAATTATACTATTTAAAGACTAAATAACCATAGACTATGTATAGAAATTTAGAGATTTTCGATGTATAGAGATTTACAAAATATTTTACATAACTTCTGTTTTAGGTTATTCTTCGACATTTATGGTTTGGCATGGATCTAAAATCGGCTATTTACGAAAAACGCATCCATCATCAACTGTTTCCTATGGACATTGTGTATGATCCCGAATATGAAACCGAGGTGAGGCAGCTTCTTTTTAACTAACTATGATATATATATATATATATATATATATATATATATAGCAAATTAACTTGTGAAGGGCTTAACAGGAGCCATGCGATCAATTTTAGAAGTACTGTCAGAGGTCCCTGCATTTCTAGATTGGTGACTCTTCCATCAGGGTACAAAAACAAAAGAAGACCTTTTTCTGTTTTCTTATATATATATATATATATATATATATATATATATATATATATATATATATATATATATATATATATATTATAACAGCACTATAAGCCCTATAAGCTCTTGGTTTCAACAGTCTTAACTAGTTTTTTCCATTTTTTACGGTCCTCCACTTGTGTTTTTGGTTTCTTGTTTTTCTTTCAAGGTTTTCTCTCTCGCTAACTATTTCTTCGTTTCATTCGTTGTCCAAGTTTCTCATGCATACAATACTGTTGGTCTCATTATTGCTTTAAGAGTTCGAATCTTATCTGCAATGTACTCTTTTTTGCCTTTAATAGTGCGTTTAACAAGTTACTGCTTCACTATCTCTAACAACTGTTTATCGATTTCTATTTCTTCGCCTCCTCTATTTTGAACTATTACTTCAAGGTAATAAAAATTTGTTATCCTTAAATCTTTACTCCCTTTTATTCGTTTTTAGAGTGAACCGTTTATTTTCTTCTGTATTTTCCTCTCTCATTTTCATATACCTATGCTATATTTTTTAGCTTCTTCTTCAAAGTTCGTAATCATTTTTCACTAAGTTCTATTCTTGAACATATCAGAAATACTAAGTCATCTGCGAAATCTATTCATTGTTGTTTTTTATTAGAATCCTAGCGCTTGTATGGATCTTGGCTCCTCTTATCTTCCTGTTTTAAACCTCTTTTGACGTCAAACGGATTTAAAAGACTTCCTTCTATCATCACTGTATTGACTGTATTTGTTAGCGTCATTTCGTATGGCGCGTTTCGTGAGATAGAGACGTAGACCTGTTTAAAATCAATAAATAGCATATGCAAACCTAGGTTTTGTTTATAACTGTTATTTTGTAATAACTTAACTTAGCATAAACAATTAATCGATTGTTGCTCTTCTCTGTCTGAAGTTAGTCTGGTATTCTTCTATTATTTCTGTTTCGTAGGTTTCTATTCTACTTCTAGCAAATTCTAATTGTTACAAATATTTTATATAATACTTCTTATACTGTGATTGCTCTGTGATATTTGCAGATAGTTTTATCACCTTTCTTATGAATTTTGCACATTTGTGCTGTGTCCCATTGCTCTGGAATTTTTTCGTTTCTCATATTTTTATAAGTATTCGAGCTATCATTTACTGCAGTGTATCTCCTCCTACTTTTAATATTTATTCTGTCTTGTTACTTCTATTCCCTCCTTCTCTGTCGGTTCTTGTTTTTGTTGTTGTTCTGTTTCTTGTGCTCTTTGTTAAATTTCTGGTCCTGTTTAGCCTTTATCGTTTAATAATTCATTGAAATACTCTGCTCATCTGTTTAGTTTTTTGTCCTCTCTCCTAGTAACATACCATCTTTATTTATACTAAACATTCTAGTTTTATTTTGTGTCACTTGTGTCTTTTTTTGGCTTCTTGTTAAACATGTTTAACTTCTTTTTCAACATGGTTGTCTTCCATTATTTCTAGTTGTTTTTCCAGTAATTGTCTATTCTTTTCTAGATCTTTAATTTTATAATGCTCTTTATTTTTTTCTGTATTACTTCTAATATGTTCCATTCTGCGTTGTTATCTTGCGCTGAATTTTTTTGCAGTCCTCATCAAACCAGTGTTCTCTCTTTTCTTGTTTTTGCTTTTTCAATGCTAAGTTCTGCCGCTTGTATCATGACTGTTTGTATTAGTTTCCATTCCTCTTTTAGGTTCTGCACCGTGATTGTTCCCATTTTGTTGTTCATTTTTTTCTCCATTCTTTTTGGTACCTTTTCATCTTAGAGCTGCTCTACTTGTTATTTTTGCCGTTATTTTCCTTTTCTTAATTGTTTGGGAATTTCTTGCTTAAGTGTGACTATTGTCAATAGATGGTCACTTATGGTCTCTTACACTCTCTGCTCACCTGTAGCTTCTACAATTAGTCACTAATCTATTGTGTTTTCATTCAGTTATCTATTTGGTTTCTCGTTTTCCCATCAGAAGAGATCCGGGTTATTTTATGTACGTCTTTATGATCAAATTGTGTACTTGCTATCTTAAGGTTATGTTCCATTGAAAATTCTATTATTTTTTTTATTGTTATTAATTTCTTTATGCAGGTTTTTACAACCTATCATATTCATATAAATATCTTCTCTTCCTACTTTCGTATTTATATTTCCCACGATTATTTTTATATAATATTTTGGCGCTCTTCCAATTAGTTCGTCGAGTTGATTATATAACTTATTTCTTATGTCTTTTTCTTTCGCAGGATCATGTGCGGTAATTGTGCTGATTTTTCCATATTTTCCGCGCAATATTCCACTTGAAAATCTGGTATTATTCGGTTTATTCTCTTCGATACCATAAAACTATCCCAATTTATCTATTTGGCCTCTTTTAAAAAAATACTTTTTACAACTTTGACTATCTAACTTTCTAGCTGCTTGGTTTCTTAAGGCCATTATTTTGATTTTATATTTCTCACGTATTACATCTTAATTTTTTAATGCTCCTTGCTCGTCCCTCTTCCACGTTCCCACTTTCAATGTTTTTTCAATTTGGTTGTTTCCTTTCTTGCTATCTTTTCCTATCGTTTCCTGTCACCAAAATCATCGTCATTATCGTAGCCATGACGTTACCATTTTTCCTTTATTCTTTGTTTTTCTGTGGTGTTCTCTTTGTTATTTTTTTTTGCTTCTGCTAAAGCTGTGTGCTCTTCTCTCTTTTTCTTCTTGTCATTCAACTATTTTATTGATAGATGGAAAACCTTGTATTGGTTACTTATTATTTTAAGATGTCTACGGTTATGGAAATATATCACCTTTTATACTTTTTTTTTTTCTAGGGCAAAGACATTGTGGAAGCATTAGCAAAATTCGGCCACAAGTACCAGTTTAAAGACGATAATGGATTCGCAGCCATCACTGGAATATCGACTAAAAATAAAGAAGAAAAAATCAGCGCTTGGAGTGACAGGAGACGACCGGGGTATACAACGTACGTGTATTAGCTAAATTGAAAAATAATTAAATGGAGTTTTCTGATTGGCAGCTTCTGGTATTGATGTAACGTAACCTGTGATCCAAAAGATTAAAAAATTGTTAAATAGAGTATTATATACACGAGAAACACGTAACTGTTAAAACAATGTTTAGTATTGAAAATAAATTTAATTTTTCCAGTTTTACTCTTTTACAATTTGGTCGACAGAACTTGTATTTCAATAACAGTAAAAGCTTAATCAACTAATCTATTTTATATTTATATGAACATTTTAATAAAATATTTACAAAATATATTGCAATGCTGCTAAAAAGACGCTTTAACAAATATCTAGTATAGGCTATTCCACGAATATACGACTGTTTTGGTTTACTGCGACAACGAATATTTTACTGTGCAAGTAGAAGTATGAAGGTCAATGGGTCTACCAGTATCACATCTAAACTAAAATTATTTCAGTTAAAATCTACAAATAAATACAATGACGTCTATGAAACCAAATGTATTCATCAGACATTTGAGTAAGCTTTCCGTGAAATGTAAACACCAAAGAGGCATGCCGGGTACACATTTTATTACTTTATTAGGTATTATAACTGTAATAAAAAGAAATATACTATTTTTAGTATAAGTGAAAAGAAATTGACAGAACGATGGTTCACAAACCAGAAAAAGGATCTTATATTTCACTTTGTTAGTTTTTAAATATGTGTTTGATTTGAGTTTATGTACCCTTAAAAGTTCCGAAAGTAACGGGTATAACATACCGGCTATTGATAGTTAATATATACAACAATCGACAACCAGATATAAATCGTACATGAAAAATTAAAAATTCAATTCATAAAAAAAATTTACCACAAATCAACGGAAATAACAATAATATAGACGAACGATGGGACAAAATTCAACAAGCCACTTTATCTGGGGCCGGAGAAAATTAAAAAAAAAAAATGAAAACAGTGACAATTAAATGGATGTCAGACGAAATATTGGTCAATAGGGTCTAATGACAGACGTCAATAGCCCTAATCAAGATCAGAAGAATATATAAAAATCAAAATAAGAATAAGTGTAGGGGAACCTGGCCTAAAATGACATACTACTTTTTTGTCGTCCAATAACTTTTTTATTTTTTTAATAAAAATTTTAAAAAAACATAAATGTTGTTCATTGTTTGGAAGTAGAACAGATCATGGAACATAAAAGTCTAACAACACAATATTTTTTAATTAAAAAAAGGAAAAAAATAAACGTTGCTATGTCATTTTATCCAAGTATATTCGGCTAAAACGACACACTCACATGGATAAAATGTCATATAAACTAAATTAGCAAAGTTCACAAATAAATTTTTTGCACGATTTTGAGATACCAGCACAATCACAGTGTGCCCATTTTGAGCATTTTTGGCACCTAATCCAGAATTCTTTGGACCTTGAATGGGAGTACAAACTGTTACAATATAAACATGGAGGATTGTTTTCGTCTTTGTCATCATCTGACACAATGGTCTTTGTTTCCTCCTCGCGATCTTGTGTCATTAAAGTCAGATTCTTAATTGCTCGCTTTGCAGTTTGACGTTTTTCTGTAGCTCGCTTCTCGAGTGCTTTGGCTTTTTGTTCTTTCATATTTGGGGTAGCCGTTAGAACTTTTATTCCTTCTGATTTTCTTTTTTTGGAGCGTGACTGGACACCTGAACACGACGGAAGAGGTGAAATGTCAAGTGGACGAATACCATTAATTGAAGAACATCTTTCAAGTGAGTTTGGTCTGGGTGTAGAAACCGGTTTGTTTCCTTGATCTGGAAAATCTTGATGTCGCAAAACATTATCATTCTCTTCTTTTGACCCTGTTAGGGGTTGAATTGCAACTTCTTCTTGAATATCTGTTATTTTGGAAGGATTAAATAAATAATCAGGGAATATGTCGGGATTAAGGGGCCAAATTCCAGTCTTTAAAAATCCACTAACGGCATTTTGGTGTGTAGCTGCTTTTCCATACGCTGTAGCAAATAATCCTCCATTTTGGTATTGCAAAACTGTTCTGCCTGGATGACACTTCATCCACTTGGTAACTTCTTGATCATAGTAGCTCTTTAATGGACCAAAGAAACATACATCTAACGGCTGTAGACGATGGGTACAGTGCGGCGGAAAACACAATATCACTATTCCATGTTCTTTGGCAAAAGTTAAAACATTAATGTTTTTATGGCTCGCATGCCCATCAAGAAACAGCATAACCTTGTCTTCTATAGAAGGATTAGAATATTCTTTAAAATGTTTCATCCATGTTAGGAACACTTCGCCTGTCATCCATCCTGTTTCCTGTGCTATTCCCAAAGTTCCTAAAGGCGCTTCATCTATTAATTCTTTTTTCCAATTTTTCCTGGGGAATATAAGTGTTGGTGGAACATAATTCCCCACAGAGCTAATGCAAGCAACCATCATTATGTGCTGTCCTCTTTCCGCACTTGTAATTAGGCCCACTTGCTTCCGACCCTTGGTTGCAAATATTTTGCCGGGTTTTTAAACCGTGGATAGGCCTGATTCATCCACATTCCATATGCGTGTCGGATTAATTTTGTTATTTGTACTAGTCTCCTCTAAAAGTTTTAAAAAATTGGCAATTTGCGGCCTGTTGAATGATTGCGCTCTTGCTGCAGACGTGGACTCGGGTTTTCTAAGGGATATATCGGGGTGTCCAGACCGAAACCCTCGTAACCAATCCCAACCAGCCATCTTAGTGGTTGTGTTAAATCGGTGTACTATTCCATTTCGATCTGCTAACTGGTAGGCTAAAGAACGAACGTCATCACAAGATAATCCAAACAAACTTGATTCTAGGAGTTTTATGTGTGTTACGAGGTCTCTTTCTAATTCTACAGAGAACGTGGTTTCGTACCGGCCAAGACCTTTATTAGTACCTGATACCCGTTTATTCTTGTCTGATGCTCGTCTTCTTAAAGTAGCTTGGAGCACATTAAAAGTTATCGATGCTTATAACCGGCCCATGTCTCCACACTGGAATGCCTGGATGGCTCTTTGCATTTGTACTGGATCCCCAGACTGGCGTGTACTTTTCCTTTCGTAGTGTCCCACCATACTAAAAAAGAAAAATACCATACATTAATATTCTACCTACCATATTATTATTAAAATTTATATGGGAAAAATGACATACTATGTCATTTTACCAGAGTATTTAATATGTCGTTTTACCCAAGTGTGAACAAGAACACGTTTTTTACAATAAATTTTTTGTTTAAACAAACAAAGCTTCCAAACATAATGTTTCTGTAAATATGAATAACAATACATACCTGGAACTAACAGAGATATAAAATTTTAAAGTTTTAAACGTTTTATAGCTAAGTATACGTCGCCTACTAAAATATTTTGGTACTCAATAAAGCACAAACCACCTTTTAACAAGTAAACGACTGAACTGATCGCGACGCCCGCGCCCGTTGGAACATCAATTATGCACCACGTGATGCTCTTGTATAAAACTTCTTAGCGCATAGCCATGTTGCCAAGTTAGAGATACACCGGATGTGTCATTTTACCCTAGTATGTCATTTTAGGCCAGGTTCCCCTATAACAATAAAGAAATATAAAACAAAATACGAGATACAGAAAATGCCAGGGTAAAGGAACGAGTATATTATAAGAACGAGAATAGAGTTATATAAGAGGAAATACGACAGCTTTCACGTACTCAGGAATAACTATAATAAGGAAAAACCAACAGATCAGTACCATACAAGATGCAGATGGAAATATTACAACTGACAAGGTACAAAAATTAAATCGACGGGTAAAATATATTCATCATCATCATATAACGGGGGTCCTACGGCGATTGCCGCTTCCCGCATTTCAGCCTCCATCTTTTCCTATCTCCCCAATCTCCCTCTTCTAAGCCTCTAGATTGCATTGTTTTTGTAATTTCTCTTCTCCAGGAATTTGGTGGTCTTCCCATTTTCCTTCTTTCTGGCGGAACATACATTAAGGCTTTCTTTGGCCAAGAAAGCCGGAACATACATTAAGGCTTTCTATCTGAAAGAGTATCTCTAATTCCTGTACGGTTTCGTATTTCCTCATTCCTGATTCTTTCCATTCTCGATACTCGACATGACCTTCTAAGATAATCCATTTCCACAACGTCTACTTTATCTCGTTCATTCTTTGTCATCGTCCAACATTCGGCACCATATGTGGTAATTGGTTCTACAATTGCTCTGTATACGCGAAGTTTGGTATGCATCTTTATTTTATTAGACCACAGTATTGAATTCAGTATTCGGATGCATTTTTTCCCTTGAGTTATTCGGTTTTGTACATCTATCTTAACTCTGCCATCTGCTGATATGATGCTTCCTAGATATTTATACTGGTTGCAGCCTTTTATGACTGCGTTTTCAAGCCTCAGATCTGCGGTATTTCCTCCAATTTTTAAATATTCTATTTTGCTTATGTTTACAGTAAGCCCCCATTTGGCATATTCCTCAAATAATTTTCGATTCATATAATTTATATCTTCCTCATCGGTTGCAACCACCACCTGATCAACTGCAAACAACAATGTATACAGAGTTTCTTGTCCCACTTCGATGCCCATAAATCTACATTTATTTCTCCAATTCCTCAATGCTTCTTGGACGTATATTTTAAAGAGTGTCGGTGACAAACAGCATCCTTGCTTTAGGCCTTTAGTGACTTTAAATTCATTTGAGGTTCTGGTTCCAATTTTTATACAACTAACTGCATTTTCGTACAATTTATATATCGCTCGGATATACGTCGAATCCAATCCGGACCTTTTGAGGACCTCAAACATTTTCTTTAACGGGACACTATCATATGCTTTCTCAAGGTCTATAAATACCAAATGGGTCTCTCTACTTCTTTCGACACGCTTTTCAATTATTTGTCGTAGGATAAATATATTATCAAGGCAGGATCTCCCGGTACGAAAGCCGCTTTGTTCTTCAATATCTTGTATCTGTCTTTCAACCCTCTTCTTTAATATTCTGCCGTACAACCGGCCCACAGAGCTCGTCACACTAATACCTCTATAATTGGAACAGTCTCTTTTATTCCCTCTCTTATATATGGAGCTTATATAAGATTTATTCCAATCTTTAGGAATTTCCTGGTCTCCATACATACATTTATTGAAAAGGTCTACTATTAATTCTAAAAGTGCAGTCGGCCCATATTTA